AACTGAGCTGGGTCTCAAAAACTCAAGTGAAGTGGAAGGGGGAAGAAAGACAACTCAGTGAGAGGAAGAAGAACATGATGTGTTTAAGGAAAAATTGCCTAGTTTTGTAGGAAAGTGGGAAGGGTGCCGGAGAGAGCACGGTGGAGGTAGGTTAAATCCAGGTCAGGAAGGGGTTTATGTGTAGGCTGAAGAGAAATAAAGATTAAACAGGCTGGTGTTTCTCAAAATAAAGTTCTCACACCACTGCCTCAGGGGTCTTCGTCTAAAATGTTCACTTTTATGATAACGTAAACACTTTGACATAAGGATGCTCTAGATCATCTGGGTGTGTATGAGTCAGTACATTTGTATTTGCAATTGTGTTGGTGGCAGGTGGTCACCAATAGGGGCAGTATTTCACTTTTAAAAGTGGTCGTGAACACGTCTGGTTGCTGTTGGGCTAATACATCCTAATGTCGTGTTATACTCAGTGTCGGCAGATACCAGTCTAAAACTCAGGGAAGAAGCCTAGGCTGGTGATCTGGACTTGGGACTCCTCGGCACATGTGATGATAAAAACAGAACATGATCCTCCAGTACAAAGTGAGAAGCAACCCACAACAAAACCTGGGGAACACCCACATTTAAGGAATAAACGGGAAAAGAACAGCCAAGAAATGAGGGTGAGAAGAAACCAAACAGAACAGAGAACACCAAAAGAGGGGGTTACAGAGACCAGACTCCTACCAAATGAGGTATTAACTGCATTACTAAAATATAAGCACCACCTCATCCAGGAAGCCCACCCTTAACCTTCCCAAACCCTTCCTACTCCCACCTAGACTGGGTCTATGTGCTTACCAGTACTGTAACACACTGTACTGGAATTGCCTATTTGTTGGCCAGTCTTCACTACCCTATGAGCACCTTGAGATGAGAGACTTATGTCTTATTCACCTTCTACCACCTTCTACCCTTCTTCCACTTGGCACAGATGACACTCAAATATTTGTGCAATACTGAACAAAAAAATAT